CCCCAAAACCCCAAAACCCCAAAACCCCAAAACCCCTTTTACTCTTGAATTAAGAATCAAGAATAATAAATCACTTAAACCAACATGAAATTAATTAGGAATAAAGTTATAGGATGATCATATTTTATTATTGAACAGTATATAATCGGGGATATTCTTAGATTATTAGTATTTAACTCTTATTTCATCTTTTAGAAGGCTCAGATGGAAGTGATTTTGCTTATTACTTCGATGTATTTAATATCTCTGCATTATTAGTTGCTTAGCTTTTCAATTATTCATACACGTTAATCATTTTATCCATACCATCCCATATTCCACTGCCAGTTAAAGCAGAGCAATCCTAAATGCAGATAGGCCTATGTTGCTGCATTTCTTCAACAGCCAGCGACTGATTTAAATCTTCTTAGCTCATAGTTTTATCCGCAATATCTTTCTTATTATACATAATTAAGAATGGAACCTGGCCAATACTTTAGTCAATCATTAGCTTTTCCAGTTCTAATTTCGCCTTTTACAGTCTGACTTTGTCAGTGCTATCTATCACGAATATAACTCCGTCAATCTTGTCAAAGTAATGCCTCCAAAGTTTGGTTATTTAACCTCCAACGTCCCAAAATGTAAGACTATATCGCTTATACTAAATGTGCTCAATGTTTAAACCCACTGTTGGAACAGTGTCTTTGAATGAACTATCTCTCATGTGAAATAACAGAGATGTTTTGCCTGCATTATCTAAGCCTAAAAGTAATATTCTTTTTTCAAAGACTTCGCCACCTGCTGCCGTCTCATCACCATCTTTCGAAAGCCTAGCTTTCGATAAAAAACTCATATCGCAACCCATTCTTCTTATTATGAAAGTTTTAATAAATTAGTGAAAATCTAAAGAAAAAGTAGAGTGAGAAATTTTCCCTTTTGAATTTAATCTAATATAATTATTATTGCTCTATTATTATTTTTGTCTTTGCTCACTCTTTGAGACTTTATCTTGCATTTTGGGGTTTTGGGGTTTTGGGGTTTTGGGG